GAAAGAAAGAAAGAAAGAAAGAAAGAAAGAAAGAAAGAAAGAAAGAAGCAAAAGGAGAGTATACAGCTGAGCATCCATTCATGCTACATGACCGATTTTTAATTATAATTAATAAAATCAGGATTTCATCAAAAGGCCAACATAATTAATGAACAGATTAGGATTATGTTTTAAACCAATAATTTAAATTCAGCAATATTAAGCAAACACGATTTTTATTTTTTACAAATGTATTACTGATCGTACATTTCATGAATACTATTTCAAAAAAGAAACAAATTACTCTTTTGCTTGGGTCATTGTAGAAGTCTTTTCTGTTTTCTTCTCTTCAATGAATGAAGACCTATTAAATATTGAAAAGCGCATACTTAATGATTCATTTAATCCAGCAAGCTTCTAAATTTCATAGTGCATAGTCCAAATGCAATTAAATTGTATATTTAATTGTGCTAATTGCTAGCATGCTACAGTATGCATTTTTGCACACAAAAATTTAATTTAATTTATTCATATAAAGTTCAGTAACATAAGATAAACCTACATGGTTTCTCAAATAGTGAATCAAGATAATAAAGCACAACTCTAATCAGATTTCACAATATAACAATAATTTCCTGAAAACAACAGATAACAAGCTGATTTAAATCCACTTACTTAGGAATGTCAAATTTTCTACAAAGAATAAAAAAATATGCAAATGTTTTATACATACCAAAACTAAAAATGTGTCATTGGTTTCAATAAATCTTGCCCTGTATTAATTTGATAAAGTTCCTAGCCACATTTGATTATATTTCTACTCATTTGGCTAGAATACAGATGCACTTTTATAGAAATCAACATATTGTATATATATTAGTAATTTATACTGTAGAAAAACATCTAGAAGCCAATATTTCATAAGTAAAAGACCACTAGATTGAATGTCTCAGATGTTTAGATGCTATGTTCCTATGAGCCCAAGTTAACAAAACTGTTGTAAAGAAAAAAGAATGAGAAACCATGTAAGGCACCCTAAAATTTTTAGAGGATACAGAGCGTACAGATCCAATGAATTAATAAAAACAATTTGTACCAACATGACAAAAGAATATATGCACTTACTTCATAGGATTATTTTCAGGCAAATAATAAATAAAATCTCTCATAGTCATTTTGGAGCGATCTTCCGGCATACTTTTCTCAATTATAGGATATTTAAATTTCCGTTGTTTCTAGAAAGATAAATTAATATATTTTTATCATTCCATAGATTTTTATTTAAATCTTGTTTCAAATTTCATTTGTATATATTTAAGAGTTTTCCACTTGCCATATTCAGTTGCTAGCTTGTTTTGTTTTATTTTCATTTTTTGTTAGTGTTAACTTTATTAAATTATTTTAATAAATTATTTTAATACTTTATGTTGATAGAAGCAGAAAAACACAATATGTTTAAATTTTAAAAATGTATTTGCATGTATAATGAGACCATAACTAATTATCACTAAATGAAAATTTATCATACAATTTACGCTACCATATTCAGACACCAATTCACCTTCTGCACCCCCACACCTAATTTAGATGGAAGACAGAATTAAAATGGGTGAGATCGACCAACTGGTCACAGCCTATTGATCACACATTGACTTAAATCCCCATTATTTACCAGAAGCATCAGACAGATATTAAGCACTGGAGAGTTTAGCTGGCAGTTTAATATATTTCAGATGTTTAGAATTAGAATTAGTTTTTGCTGCTGACCATGGCAGCCAGAGCTCATAGTAGTAATTGAAGTCCCAAACTAAGTGTCTACCTAGAATAGCTTGGTATAGTGCAAGCTGCCAAAGATCTCACTAGATTATAGTGATACTTTCTGTAATACTTCCATATTATAACAAGAGATTCTTCACTTCTCACAAGTGAAGACTGCCTTAGTTCAACAGTAGGGTCCAAGATCTACATGCAAGAGGTCACAAGATGAAATCTATTATTTCCAGATAATGATTAAAAAAATCTTCTCTCTGTAAGACCTGGTTACAGATCATCATGAAGAAGATCTACTACCCATATGGTCACTAGGAGTCAAAAACAACTTGGTGCCGAAACACTCTCCGAAATTAAGAAATGATGCCATTTAGCACTGAAAAAAATATCAGGCTGGGAAAATCAATGATCTGATTCACTATAGGATACTTCATCCCAAAAAACAAGCTAGAATTTCTTTCCTTGATACTTCAGATTAAAATTACAAAAATACTGTACTTTCTCTTTATTCAATTCTTCTTTAAGCATCTTCCTTAGCTTCTGAGTTTTGATAATTTTCACACGATCTGAACAAATCTTTTTCTTATCTACTGAAGCAGATTTTGTCTGTGTTGTTTCCTCTTCCATCAGTGTTTCCTGGGTGGGTCTTTCTTTGAGGGGTGAGCTTGTGTTCTTCGGAAGGACTTCATCATTTCTTTGAGCTGGTATACATGGGCTGGGTTCTTTACTAGCAGATTTTTTAAATGGAGAGAACTGTGGCACTTGAGGAGCAGAAGTTTTCTTTTCAGGCAATATGGAAGACTTGGGAGAACTTTCCAAATTTATCTTTTCAGGTAAAGATGTTTCTTTTTGAAACAGAAGGTTACTAAAAGCAGGAGAGTGAGGTCCTTGTTTTTGAGAGCATTTTGATGATAAATCAACAGTGGGAGGAGGCGGAGGTACAATTTTTGGTTTTATAAGGTTAGGCATAGTGGATATCCGTTTTCTTCTCTGTGGAAATCCTTCAACATTTTTCCTGCAGTCTCCATCTCCACTTTCATCACTGGTCTTTTCATTTCTGGAAAATTAAGTGAAATATTAACTAATAGAATAGAATAACATAATGACAGATTTTTTTTTGAAAGGTAGTACAGTAATTACCATGTTTCCCTGAAAATAAAACCTAATTGGAAAATAATCCCTAGCATGATTTTTCTGAACACTTATAATATAAACCCTATCCCCCAAATAAGCCCAGTTAAGATTGTCAGCCAGACAAATACATTTACTGTTTTTCTCCAAAAAATAAGACCTAACCAGAAAATAAGCCCGAGTGCATCTTTTGGAGCAAAAATTAATACAAGATCCGGTCTTATTTTCGGGAAAATACGGGTATGCCATACTTTATACAAATAATTATACTATATTATAATTAATTCTTATGGAAAATACTGGTATTCTTAAACTTGAGACCTAAACAAATATATTAAGACGCTATAGCTAAATGAATATAGATCAATAAATCAATTTCCCAGAAACACAAGTTTACAGGTAATTCTCAACTTACAACAGTTTATTTAGCGATCAAAGTTACAACAGCATTGAAAAAATTGATTACCATTTTTCAGACTTATGACCATTGCATCCTCACAGTTACATGATCAAAATTCAGATGCTTGGCAACTGACTCATATTTATGATGGTTGCAGTATCCTGGCATCATGTGCTCACCTTTTCTAACCTTTTGACAAGCAAAGTCAATGGGGAAGCCAGATTCACTTAACAACTGCAGTGATTCACTTAACAACTGTGGCAAGAAATGTGACAAAATCACTCAACTCACTCATCTTACTTAGCAACAGAAATTTGGGGCTTGTATTATCAACAAATATTTATTTGGTATATTTATGCCATGACTAGTAGAAAAGTTACACAATAAACAGAACAAAATACTACAATGTTACAATGCAAGGTCATGAATTCAGAAGGCTAGTTATGTCATAAATTGTCCTGCAAATGTTTTGGGTTTCTTCAATCTGTTAATAAACAGAATTTCAATAATTTTGATCATATCTTTAAATGTGTACTGAAAACTGATAAATTAGGTTACAAGCAACACATCAAAAATCTTGCGGCTAGTTTGATTTCTCCTTTTAATGTTACTGAGTCAATCCTTTGCTTGAAAAAAACATATTTCTTGGTATCTTGTGAATTTCAAATACTGGGGATATAGCCAAGAACAAATACATCTTTAACATTCAGAAATTGATCTAGAATTTAACAATCCTGTTGATGTCAGCCCCAAATCCAACAATCATAGGAAATGACCCGACCATATGGATTAATGTGCCAATTCTTGAATTACATATCTAATGGCAGGGTGATTGTAATCAAACATTAACATTAACTGAAAATTCAATAAATGCAAAGTAAAATATTAAATCACAGTAATTTCAATTTACAATCACAGGAAACAAAATTATCATTGTTTAATTCAACCTTTCAATGATTATCAAAGTACAGCATTCAAGCTCATCATGCTAATAGTTACATAAGTAACTAAAATACATTTCATCAACTTGCTAAAAGAGTTACTGACTTAACAGCCACAACCTCTAACTTCTGGGGAAGTTCAGAAGCAGCAGTTGTATTTGGATTAAATAACCTAAGTGTTAATTGAATATTCTGCCAAAAAAATCCTTGATGTAAATCAAATTGTTTTAACTCCCCCAAAAACCAACGCACACATACATATTAAATGTTGGATTTAATTTTGAATTTAAAAAAATAATTGCTTCCTCAGACATGAGTTGATCCAAAGTAGTAATATTGTAATATCCAATTTACCCCCTCCCCCAACTGATTTAGACATTTTTAAAATGGGATTATCCCATAAAGTAATGAGATAAAGGGTTCAGAGTTAGATCTGTAACCCAATACTTGCTCTGTATGTCTTGGAGCATTAACTGCAGAAATCCCAATACTAATCAAAAATTAAATAGGGCTAAATAATGAATCTCAAGTTGAGCTTGAAGACAAGGATAAAACTTATTAACTGGGATATACTCCACATGTATATATGAGTGTTCACCTCTCTCTCTCTCTCTCTCTCTCTCTCTCTCTCTCTCTCTGTGTGTGTGTGTGTGTGTGTGTGTGTGTGTGTAGAACTGCAGCCTCAGAGGAGCAGTAGAAAGACCAAGCCCTTCTGTTTGAAAGTTCACCAAGCATTTTAAACAAATCAAAAAAACAATTCTACCTATTTGTAATTTATTCATACAATATAATTTTATGGGAGATCTCACACAATAATCAAGTTTCAAAATAAAGACATTACTTTATTAATTTATGTATAATATGCACATCAAGGCTGCAACAATTCAAAGGACCCCTAAACTGCAGTTAATGGCAGCTTCCTGTGTTGTTCTGTTTATTTTACTTATTAAATATATATGGTCAAAAGTCACTTTTTTCAGTGCTGTTGTAACTTCGAACAATCACTAAATGAACTGTTGTTAAGTCAAGGACTACCTTTACATGTTATCTAATTAGCTATATAGAGCTGATATTAAAGGGTTACAAGATTGGCAGGGACATTAACACAGCTCAAATTTATGAACGTATTGACAGCATTATTCATTGTACAGGTGACCAATAACACAGTTTAGATAATTGGATCAGAGTTTGGCCAATGCAATGCTTCTGCATCATCATCACTATACCTGGAAAATTTATCTATCCTGGAACAGCAAGTTGTTAGGATATCTACAGTCCATTTAATGCCAATTACTACTCCGTATGTTCACACTACAGAATCAAGTCACTAGACTCAAGTCCCAAAAGCTCAGTTATTACAACACAAAGCTAAAGTTCTTTCACACATCTCTTTGAGATGGGAGTTTTGCTGACAGAAGATGATTATGAACCTCTACTAAGAGAAGTTTTGTCAAAACCGGGTCCTCAAATACCGTAGTTAAACGAGCGTCACAGATCCAATTTCCAAGGTGTCTCTCAGGTCATCTCAAAAAGGAAGCTCCGACGGTTTCTGAGAAGAAGACACCACAGCGAGAGGGTAAAAGCAAAGCTCAGTTACCTGCTACTATTGTTACTACTGTCCCCGCTCAGGTGAAGATCTCCAGAGGCGGCAGCGTCACCGGGATGGGGCATCGAACTGTCCTCGACCGTAGAAGACCGGGTGGTCGGTGCCGAGTCATGTTGACCGTCGGCATCTGTGGTGGCGGCGGCAGTGGCGACCGCCGGGACAACTGAGCTCGTGCTGCCTCCACTATTCCCGCCTCTCCCTGCAGCATTCGGCCGGACATTGGGCTTCACGCTAAATCTGGCGCGGCGGAACATGGTGTCGTGAGGCGGAAGGTCCGGCACCGGCTAAAGTCCAGCGTCGCCGGCGAGGCGGCCTCATGTCATCGGCCCGGCTCCGTCCACTTCCCCGCCCTTCCTTTCTGGGACAGGACTTCAATCAGCTGCTCCTAGATGGCGTTGGTCGCGTCATCATTCTGCGACAAAGCAAGCCGGAAGGTTTGGTTCTTATTAACGGTTAATGTACCGCCTGCAATGCAGAAATCGAGTTTTGCGTTTCAGATTTCTACTGAAGGAAGTGGTTTGTTAATTCATCGTTGGATAGATAGGGGATCGGTGGCAAATAAATTTTAAATCCCATACAGAGTTGGAAGGGACCTTGGAGGTCTTCTAGTCTAGTCCATATAGTAAAGCCTATGCCATAATTCTGTATTTCATTCCGATTCAATTTAACGTCTTGTTCTCCCCCGCCCCCCAATTGGCACAATTCGGTATCACTTTTTTTTAATTTTCAATAAGAATGCCTTAGCTTACAGTTTCATTAATTAGGGAAGGAGGGACTGTAATTTCCAGAATTTTAACTGAGACATAAGATTAAAAAAAAAACTGTAAAGCTCTATTATTATAGAAATTGTGACATAATTTATGTGTCTCTTGAGTCCAAGGATTTTCAAAAATATGTCCTAGTGACTTCAAATGTGTTAATATAAAATTCAGTCCCTCTTCCATGTGACAGTGATTCAGCTAAAGATTGTAAAGATTTTATCTCAATCTTCACTTTTTGTAGGTTAAATGCTTCCAGATTCTTTAAATACAGATATAGCCATTTAATTTGACCAATCTTCACTTTTTGTAAATCCTTCAAGATTCTTTAAATAGATCATTTCACACATAGAACTTGATTTCCAAACCTCTCACAATCTTATAACCAGCCAATTCCAATTTCTCACTATTCTTTTTGAACAATAGCACATTTCTCTAGACCAAATTAATCACATAACAGTCACCAAAATAATTCATTGGAACACCTGTAAAAATTAACATGTACCAGTAATGAAAAATTATTAATATAATAAAAATTATCATGTACCAGTAATGAAAAATTATTTCTTTGTATCCCATCTTTATTATTTTCACAAATAACACAAGGCAGCAAGCATATCCATGACAGCTTCTGTTTTATTCACAACAAAAATCCTGTGAGGTGTGTTGAATCGATTGAGAGAATAGGACTGGCCCAAAGATGGCTTTCATGGCTAAGGGCGGAACTTGAACTCACATCTCTCACTTTCTAGCTTGATTCTTTAACCACTAGACCGAACTGGCAAAAATTGGTGGGAACAGAGTTGGAAAAGCAGGAGGTTAATATATGAGGGGATTTCTGAATACAGATTGATTAAATTGGCTGATAACACACAAAACATAAGTATCAAGTCTAAAAATCAAAATTGAAAGATTATGACATAAAGCAGTTCCTGTATTCCCAGTGGTTATCTACCCACTGGGTGCCAATACCTAAAAATTTGAGATAGCACTTAGAAAATTCAACTGTCAGTTGCAAAAGACCATAATACTTGGATCCACACATAACTACACCCTTATATAATGTTTTAAGTTGTTGAGACAAACACAATGCTTATAAAGATCAATAGCAGTTAAAGAACTGACAGCTGTAACTTCCCATTGGGTGAACAAAGAATAATAATGGGAAGGACTAGAATCGGTGGATAAAAATGCCAAATCCAGGTTAAATAGCTGGTCAACCAACCATAGCATGCATTTATTTATATCTCTTTTTAGGGCAACAACCCTGGATTATTTGAATCATGCTATTCTGTTAGAACAAAAAGAGAGAGAGAGAGAAAAAAAAAAAACCTGACTGGTGACCGCTAACTTGGAAACTACGAGTTCCGACCCAACCCAAGCGAAGGACTATAACTTGAGTCAGCTGCTGAAGCAGACGTCACCATCCAAACAAAGGAGGCTTTTCTAGACTTGCGCAAGCGCACTAAGCGGCAGGGCGTTCCTGAACAGCTCCGTTCGGGACGGAGAGATGTGCGGCGTGACGTCACGGGGGCGGTCCCTTACTTAATAAAAACTTGGGCGGGCGGGGCAAGGAGAAGGTTCTGGTAGTTGGAGCGGTTGGTGGGGAGTTGGAGCTTGCGAGCGTAACGGTTGTTATCGCTGGGGTTATTGTTTTGCCATGGCCCGTAAGTATTCGACGCGACCGCCCTCTCCCACCACCAGGAAGGCAAGGCGGTCCCTCCCGCTGGGTCGGTGCCCGTTAGAGGCCGAGCGGGACAGTTCACGGGGCCTTGCGGAGGCCGTAGGCCGGAGAGGGAGGCGCCTCTCTGCCTGTTGTTCGTGGCATCTCCGTGGTGGGCGGCGATCTTGGGGTCAGCAACCTATTTAATAAAGTGGAAGCCATAGCGAGGTGCGTCGCAAAGCGTCCCTGGTTTATGGATTTTGTTAGCGTCGCCGGCGGGCGTTACAAATCTTTGGGTTTGGTTTTTTTTTTTTTTTTTGTATACATGGGGAGGCCGTCTGGAGAAAAGGGCAGCTTTGGTCCTTCGTTTCCGCGTTTTTTTTGATCCGCTCTCCGGGGCGAGCTCCCCGCTCTTTAAGCCATCCTCTTTAAGTCTGCGAGGTGAACTGACCCGAATTTACACTCAAATCTGCCTGTGGCTCAGTAAAGTTAGCTCTGAAAAGCTTCGAGGGGAAGCTGTGAAAAACTGTCCGGTGTTCGCGTTGCGCTCGGTTTTCTTCAGGACCTATTTGGAAATAGTTGTTTTGTTAAGAAACTGAGCACCACCCTGTAGTCTTAGTGGAGGGGTCTCCAACCTTGGCAACTTTTAAGTCTGGCGGACTTCAACTCCCAGAATTCCCCAGCCAGCTGGCTAGGGAATTCTG